GAGTATTTATTGTGACATGTATAATTTTTTCAATTAGTTAAATGAAGGTATACAGAGGAAGAAAGTGCAAGAGCAACTAAATGTTCAGAGTGGTGATCCGACACAGGAGCAACCTCAAATGAGAAGTCCCATTCCAAGTCCGGCCCCATTACTCAGTACTGGACCCATGGCACCTCATATGCAGGTACCCAATCAGATGTCTGGACAGCTGCTACCAGGAATGATGCCTGTGCGAGGGCAAGCTCCTGGCTATTCTGGTATTCCTGGTATCATGCTTGGACAAGGTTTACCTCATATGCAAGGACCCCCAGGTCAGATGCAAGGACCTCCAGTGACAACACAGGGGCAGCTTGGACAGATGCAAGGGCCACTAGGACAGATGCAAGGGCCCCCAGGACAGATGCAAGGGCCCCCAGGACAGATGCAAGGGCCCCCAGGACAGATGCAGGTTCCACCAGGACAGATGCAAGGGCCTCCAGGTCAGATGCAGGGACCTCCAGTGACAACACAGGGGCAGCTTGGACAGATGCAAGGGCCCCCAGGACAGATGCAAGGGCCCCCAGGACAGATGCAAGGGCCTCCAGGACAGATGCAGGGGCCTCCAGGACAGATGCAGGTTCCACCAGGACAGATGCAGGTTCCACCAGGACAGATGCAAGGTTTGCCAGTGACAACACAGGTGCCTCCAGGACAGATGCAGGGGCCTCCAGGACAGATGCAGGGGCCTCCAGGACAGATGCAGGGGCCTCCTGGACAGATGCATGGGCCACCTGGACAGATGCAAGGACCACATGGTGCAATGCAAATGTTCGAAGCATTACCTGGGCAAATGTTGCATAGTCCAAGAGGTCCTGGTGAGGTAACCATGGATAGAATGTCAATGCCACCACCTCCACCACCGCGACCACCACTGCCATCAGGTGGGTTTGCCCCAGGAATGCCGATGGTCAGGCAAAGTCTCACCAAAAAAGACCAATCCAAACTTATAAAAGAACAGAAATTGTTGAGAGAACAGGAGCAAGAACGACAGTGGAAATTACTGCAACAAATGAGGCAGCAGCAGCAACAAGATGTTCCCAAACACTCTAGTGCAGGTATCTGTAGTAAGCATAAATTGTATTATTCAGCTTTTTAAGCAAGAATTGAATGGATTGATTGGGGTCCATACATGCATAATTAAAACACTTGCAAATGTATTTACAGATTTGCTTTGTTTCTTGTTCAGTTTCAGTTTATCACAAATTGCTCGTATCTCGACTAATTGAGTTGTATTGTTTCATGCTTTTTTCCCATCAAATGCCATTTCATGCAGTTATGTTACGAGATTACATTTGTATGCCAGGTTGTTTTATGGTATCTAATCCAACCAATTCTGCTTGCTAGCACTCGTGAGCCCGTCCACATTTGTTTCACAGATTCACATATTTGTTCTTGCTCAATTTTGGCATGAATGTCATGGCAGACAAGATGGACTCTTTAAATTACCAGTTCTCAATTGAATGTTAATATTGGCTGTAGCGAGATAATCTCCAAAAAGCTTGAAATTCAGTGATGTGTCAAAGATTCCCCGCCTTATGTGAATGCCTTAAAGCTGTTCTAAATACTGTATAGGGATTAATGGACCATTTTTCGTTAACTGCAAGATCATGCATTATGCATTGTGGTGGCATCCAGCATCATGCAAGATTCAACAAACATGAAAGTATTTTAAGGATATTTCCACGCTTAATTTTGTGCTAGAAATATTTGATAACATTGAACTATGAAAAAAGAAAATTCAAATCAAATTGTTTGATTTTTAGCAGACTTCTGGTTACGTAATGAACAGGAAAATCACCATTATTGGCTGCGTTTTATTTTATTTCACTGTTATCTAAAGGCACAAAATAAAAACTTGGTTCATATGCAGAGTTAACAATAAATAAAAACCAGTGGATGTAAAACCTGGTTAACATTCATTCCACCCTATGAAAACAGCCTTTTAATGTTGTAAAAATTTCCTTAACAATTTTTAAGGCATTTCAGATATTTGGCTTTGAACTTGGATGCTTTCAGAATACGCAAGTTCAAGGACTGCCCAAATGGGGAGTCCCACAAACTATTTTCACAGCTGAATGCACAAACATCTTTCTTTAAATTACTATTTTATTGATAGTCAAGACTCTAGATATTGAATATTTCAGTGTCACAAGTTTGAAATATATAACTAATTCCCAGCTTTTCTTTGTTTTCTTTAAGCTTTGGTTCGTCAAAATAAGAAGAAGCTGAAGGATATTGATCAACAAAACAAAACAGAAAATCTGGTAGAAAGTGGTGATAGTCAAGGTAAATCTGTTGAAACATCTGAGCCAGCAGAACCAAGTGGAGATGCTGAATCACAAGTAGCGCATACGTGGTCCATGGCAAATGTATCACATGTTAACACTCCATCACCGAAACAAGGATCTCCTCAAAGTACAACGTCACCGTCACAACCAGTGTCTGATGTCAATACTCAGCTTGATGCTCCTCTTTCTCAACTACCTCACTCGCAGTCGCAACCAGCATTGCAGCAGATGCAACAGATGATGCAGCAAGCACAACAAAGATCTCAAATAGATAATGTTTCACAACAGGTTTTTCAACCCGGGGATGCTCGATTTCCAGTTTCAGAAAGATTTCCAATAGTCAGTCTACCAGATCAAAACCTGCCCGGTGAATATCCCAAGGCACAGTTAAGAGAATTACTAGTGAAACAACAAGAGCAGAGAAGACTTCGTCGGCAAGTGCAGGAACAACAGGAACAGATGATGCGCGATCAATCACCTGTTGGTTTGAGACATTGGCCATCAGATCAGCCACCATCGCAGCCTCCGCCACCTTATCCAAGTGGAGCACATTTCACAGAACAACAGCGCCAACAGTTTTCACTTTCAAGAGATTCAATGATGCAGGACCAAAGGCAACCTCCTCCTGGACAAAGACCTCCTCTTCAAGGTGAGCGACCTTCTTTCGGGCCAGGATTCCCATTTGGTAGTGATCAGCGCCCATCTATGCCAAGACCTCAGTGGTCAGACAATTTTTCAGAAATGCATCCAGATCAAGGGATGAGGGGCAGGCCCCAATGGAGACAAACTGGATCAATGCCACCTCAAAGACATCCAGGGCATTTCATTGAATTGAAGCGTCATGAACATGGAGGACCTGGGCCAAATACAGGCCCATTTCCCGGCCTAGGACGACCAAGAAATCCATATATGGCACTTGTGCAGGAAAGACTCCATCAGCGATCTATATCACAACCATCTTCCCAGCAAATGCCAACACCGAGGAAGAACGCCCCACATGGTGATCTCTCTACAAATCCTCTTGATCCATATGATCATCTGGTAAAACCAAGACCACCATTTTCACCTCAACACCAGTCAGGTTTTATGGAAGGACCTGGATTTGATAATACAATACAAGGGAAATTTTCTTTAAAAGACCCTTCCCAGCAGCATCCTCCACTCATTCCTACATCAACTTCTGCTCCTGCTTCAGGTTATTCAAGTATTCCCGGGAATCCTATGGGACAGCAGACCTTTGGAACGCCACGCCCAATGTTTCCAGGACAACCTCAACACCAGACGCAATCTGTGATGGGCCAGGATCAGCACTTTCGTCATTCTTCTCAAGACAGTTTCCCAGGTTCTCAGGATGATTTTGACACAAATGTTCATGGAGAAGCACCACTTGATGATGATCTTTTTAAAGATGGTGAATTCAATATTCTTGAATATGCTGATCCAGAGTTAGACACAAATAGGCATTCAGAGGCTAATCAGCAACTCTTTAAGGACCTCGGTCTAAGCGAGGAAGGAGATGTGAAATCACAGAGCATACCAGCATCAGGTCAAGTTGATGCAGAGGAGAAGGAACCAGTGTGTGGTCAATCAGAGACTAAAGAGCAAATTGACGATGGTTTGGTTCAGGACGAGGAAAAACATATCACTGAATCGCAGGATGGGACTGAATCGAAAAATAGCAGTTGTTCGGACCATAAGTCTGGAGAAAGTGTGAATGGTGGGAACAAATCAGAAGGCTGCAGGGATGAAAGCTGTGATAGAAAAGATAACTGTGTTCAAAAAGAAAATTGTAGTGAGGAAGGCTGTGGGAAAAAAGAAGGCTGTGGTGAAAACAAAGGATGTGGCGAAAGCAAAGGTTGCGGCGAGAAAGAAGGCTGTGGTGAAGAAAAGGGCTGTGGTGAAGAAAAGGGCTGTGGTGAGAAAGAAGGCTGTAGTAAAAAGGAGGGCTGTGGCGAAAAAGAGGGCTGTGGTGAAAGCACAGGTTGCGGTGAAAATAAAGGCTGTGGTGAAAAAGAAGGCTGTGGTGAGAAAGAAGGCTGTGGTGAGAAAGAAGGCTGTGGAGAAAAAGAGGGCTGTGGAGAAAAAGAGGGCTGTGGCGAAAAAGAGGGCTGTGGCGAAAAAGAGGGCTGTGGTGAAAGCACAGGTTGCGGTGAAAATAAAGGCTGTGGTGAAAAAGAGGGCTGTGGTGAGAAAGAAGGCTGTGGCAAAAATAAAGGTTGTGGTGAAAAAGAAGGCTGTGGCGAAAAACAGGGATGTGGCGAAGAAAATGGATGTGGTGAAAAAGAGGGCTGTGGTGAGAAAGAGGGCTGTGGTGAGAAAGAGGGATGTGGCGAAAAAGAAGGATGTGGCGAAAAAGAGGGATGTGGCGAAAAAGAGGGATGTGGCGAAAAAGAGGGATGTGGCGAAAAAGAGGGTTGTACCAAACAAGAGGGTTGTACCAAACAAGAGGGTTGTACCAAAGAAGAGTATTGTGAAAAGAAGAAAGATTGTGATGAGAAAAGTGACTTGCCATCAACTGTAAAGACAGAACCTCAGCAAGAAACACATCAGAGTACAGATGCTAGTTACACAACATCGGCTAATCTTCAACACTCAAAGCCTGTGAAACTTGAACCTGAATTGGCAGAGTGCGATAGTCATGAAGACAAGAAAGATAAGTGCTCCAGTGGTAGTAGTACTCCTGTTGTTTCCACATCAAATTCAACAACGCCAGCAGTTACCACTGCATCAATTCCTCAAAACCTTGTGGATTTTATCCCTTTATCACAGGCATCATCAGTCAAACGACCACTTCTACTCGAAGAACAACCTCTTCTGTTGCAAGATTTGCTTGAAAAAGAGAAGATGGAGCAAATGCAACAGCAGACTCCGCCCGGAACAGCAGCTCCCGTTGTCCGGCACCCACCTCTGAATGACCCATTCCTCAGTGATATTGACTTTGAGAAATTACAAAGAGAAGCCAAGCTGTTTGCAAGTAAAGGTACGCTTTCTGTCTTTCTTAGAGTGCGCTTTGGACACTGTAAACTGGATTTTAGTTAAAATCTTGATTTTGAACAGTTTCAGCATGTTAGGCTTGTTACTTACAGTCACTTTTATAATGGCACACTGTCAAAATTGTGCTTTTTTTGGATGGCCTGACTTTACAGTTAACACTACATATAGAACCTCTTTTTGTAGGCAATACATGTTCAAGCAAAACCAGGAATTTAAATGAAAAATTACATTGTGGCTCATTCAGGAAATGCAATTTATCTCTAAAGGTGTTTATGAAAAATTGAAAAACTAACGATATTGTTATTTGTTTAATTGTATTTTACAGAGACTGAAAGCACTCCTGGTCCGCATGCCCAGTTATTAAAAGCGATGACAAAACAACATCAAGAGAATTTACAGCAACAACAACAACATCAGTTTACGGCCAATCCACCACCGCAGACATTCTCTGGTATGACAAGTCCACGATTACCAGGCCCGCATGGTAAAACTGATCCACCACATGCGTTTCCAATCATGAGAGCCGGTATTCAGCCTGAAAGACTACCCACAGAAGACCCAGTGTTACAAGGTGCTGCCCCTCGATTTGGTTTCCCAACAAAACAAAGTCCAGGAATGGGTGGTAATTTAAGACCTTCCGCTATTACTACAACCACTAGTGGATTACATTCTCCAGTTGGTATAAATATGCCACCTGCTCATGCCCTAACAAACCAGCCATTTAGTGTACCTTCACCCATGAATGTCTCAAGTCCTGGTCTCAGTATTCCATCACCAATGGGGACAATTCATAATTCCAATTCCACAAGTGGAGGACCGTCACCACTCGGTATGCCAAGTCCAAGTCATGGTGTGCCATCACCCCGCGCTATAGGTTCTATGCCTGTTATGGTAGCATCACCCTTGGGTCTTCAAAGCCCCGGACCAAACTGCCCCCCTGCAGTACCAAGTCCAGGACTACAACCAACTATGTCCGGAATGATTTCACCTTCCTGTCCTCCAGACACTGAACGTCAACAACAGACTCAATATGAAGAATGGCTTTTTCAACACCAACAGCTTCTTAATATGCAACAAAAGTTTCTCGAAGCCGAGGCAGCGAAACACAGAAAGAAAAAGAAGACATTAGCATCAAGGCAGAGAGCTAACAAAAAGAATGATAGACCTTTCTCAGAGCATGATGAACAAGAATTAGAGGCCATATCTCTGCAACATAGCACGACTCAAAAACAGCTGGAGCATATTAGGAAACAACAAAGACAGCATGGTATTTTAATACAAGAATATCGCATGAAACAGCAGGAGAGAATGCAGCAACAGATGGGTAAACCGCCAATACCAGGTCAGCCTCCTTTCATGCAAGATGGTAGCATACCCAGGTTTCCAGTTCCCAGCATGCCCCCAGGGGCAATGGGGGTACCAACTTCCTTACAATCCCCTCCACCTGGCCCTCCCCAAGGTCCTCCACCTGGTCCCCCACAAGGTCTACCGCCAGGTCCCCCACCAGGTCTACCGCCAGGTCCCCCACCAGGTCCTCCACATGGTCCCCCACAAGGACCACCACAAGTGAGTGTCCAGATAACACAGGATGAAAACAACCCTTTCAGTGAAGTATTCCAGGAACGTGAAAGACGAGAGAAACTGGAACGTTTGCGTGAACAGCAGGAGCGTCAAAGAATACAAATGTTACAGCAGGTTGACCGTGCACGGGCGATTCGAAGGATGGAAGAAGAAGACCACATTAGAGACCACATAGAAGGTGACAACAAACAACCGTTAATGGAGATGCCGTTCTTTGACCAAGATGTTTTACCCTTCTCACAAAGTGGTCCCCAACAACCGCAACAGCAGCCTGGAATGAACCAGCAACCACCATCATTTCAGCAAGGTAGACCATTTGTACATTCCGGTCCCCAGGGACATATGTCCATGCAAGGTGTTATGCCTCAAGGATCCCAACCAGGCGCCATGCTTGGCATGCAAGGACCACGTCAACAGTTCGCTAACTATCCACCCATGAATCCCGATGGTGGATTCCCAGTACCACCAAATTTTCCCGGAGCTATGGAGATGTGCCCACCAATTGAAAAGCCGAAAAAGAAACGCACTCGTCGGAAAAAGAAGGAAGTCGACCCTTATGATATGCCCCCAGCTACTCCAATGCCTACAGATGCATTAGATTTTGGTTCGACAAGACCCTTACATCACATAGACGAACAACAGCACAATATACAAGATAGAAATCCAATAATGGCGATGTCAAACATGAATGCGAATCAGAGCAGAGACAATTCTTTAGGTGCTTTACTTGAGGCGACTGTAAATAAAATAGAGTCTGATATGCCTAAAGTGGATACTGAACAGTCTGATAGTCAGTCGACGAAAAGTGACTCTTTGAAAGATGAAAACGGTGAACAAAAAGAAGAAAATGGTAAAACTGGGGGGAAAAAAGATTCTAAACCGACTCAAAACTTGTTATTGAAACAGCTGTTGCAGGGACCTGCAATATACTCACCGGCTGGTGGTGGTGGTGTGCCAAAGAATCCCCAAACACCTGAATCTGTCTCTTCCCCTGTGGTGGAAACACAGAATGTATCACCTATCCGATCTGTGAAGTCAGAGACTGTAGATGATGATGATGTCTCAAATGTTGTACTTACTCCACAACAACAAAAACAATTAGAAATGCTTGAGAAATTGCCGTATGTCAAACCGACTAGCGATTCGGACTGGATCGCAAAGAAATTGCAAGCTGGTATATCAGATCGTGATATACTCATGGAAATACATCGTCAGGAATACGAGAAACAACAAGAACAACAACAGCAGCAGCAGCAACAACAACAACAGGCAGAGGCTGCCCCAAAGAAGAGGAAGAAAACACAAAAACAAAAACTGTTTGATAAATCAAAACGACGAAGAGGATCTTTAGAAGATGAGGCTGATGCATTATACGATGAATCAAAATCGTTGTTGAATACGATAAGACAATTACCGTTACTGCCATTATGTGAACCTGAAGTCAGTGTTAATTATTCCTTATGCCCCATATATGGTAGTTCCACGTTAACGGGTGAAAATCAACTAAACGGGACATTTGGACATTCTACAATTGACGGAATAGCTGACTATTATTCACATTTCCCGTTTGGACCACCAGCACCGTTAACAAATCCACCCACACCGCCAGCTTCCTTACCGCCATCTCCACCCGATAAAATTCCTGTGCCGATGGTTAACGGCAATGCACATCCTTCAGAATTGAATCAGAGGAGAGGACCAGACGGAATTCGTAAGTACTAGTTATTCCCTTATTTATGTTTCTTTTGAAAACCAGAGATGTCCGTACTTTGACCATTGTATCTCACAGTGACTGTCATTATGTGCATACATTATATTAATGCCACAAAATTATTCAAAGAATCTGGGATTGCTTTTGAAAGACAGTTTCAATATCCTTCAATTGAACAAATGCAGCCACTACTGAAAACAACAAAATTCATTTTGAAGTAGACTTCTACTTTTGAGTGACAGATTGTAAATCACAGCCACACCAATTCTCAGTAATATTCAGTTACAAACAACTAAATATTTGGTAAAAACCATAGTTGTTTCATTTGTTATATTGTGCACACTGTAAAATCTGTATCATAAGTCACAGCTTCTATTAAAATGATACAATGCAACAAAAGGGACGGCCTACAAGTAGAGCATTCAACACATATTTGGTTTGCAAATGTTCAAAAAAAAATACAGACTACATATTTGTTTCATTTCATATATAGCATGTACTACTTCATATGTCAAAGGCTGCAACAAAATAAATTTGATGGTATAACTCGAGTAGTACTCGCTGCTAAAATTGTTTTCTAGTCAATGGCAATTAAAACTAAATTTCACCAAGGCACTGCACCTTCCCTGTCAAAACAATCCAGTGAGGTTTTCACTGTTGCTAAATGTTTTTCCTAATTTGCTGAAATTCATGAGACCAAAGTCACAGTGAGAGTGAGAACCCTTCAAATAGTGTTCCATTCTCTCCTATCATCACGTCAACTGTTGCCATGGTTACATAGATGAGGGGAACAGTCGATGATGATGATGATGGGATAAAACTGAACACTGTAAGAGGCTTAAAACACGTTTTGTGACTCTCTCACAGCGGTGTCTGAGGTCTATTTTTCTCCTTCAGAATGAAAACAGGATATAGTTTAGAAGTTTTTTCTATGTCTACTAATATTTCTGAATTGGTAATGACATTCTCAATGCATCAGTGACATCATACATTTACCCATTTACTTTTAACAAATTCCCCATTAGTTGTTTATAACCTTAACTCCCATTCCTCCCCTCCCTTCCCTGCCTGCCTGCCTTCCAATACCTGCCTGTATCATGTAACCTTTGACCCAGCACAGTGACCCTTGACCCTCCATTATTATACTTTCATTACTATAATGTCATTGATGCACAGATGTTGGACCATTCAGTGAACCTAGACGTTATCAGTTATCTGTTATCCCAGGAGCAGATATCACTATGGCAACAGCAGATGATGTCCTACAGGAGATCAGTGTACATCAGAGAACAATTACAAAAGCAGTTAATCCTCAAATACGCAACAGTAATATTGATATTCCTCCATCGCTGCCAACGCCGCCACCGACCTCTGATGCCACTCCAAAGTATGTTACTTTCCATAATACAAATTGATCACAAACTTCACATATTCATATGGATAAAACACAATACAATAGAAGCATAATCTAGTAGCTTTAAAACTAGATGAAAAACAATAGATTTATAATTCTATAAGTGCAAGAAAACAATAGATGTATAATTCTGTAGATGAAAAAAACAATGGATGTATAATTCTATAGGTGAAAAAACGATATATAATTCTATAGGTGAAGGAGAGATTTATAATTCTATAGGAAGAACAAATTCATTATCTTATAGGTGGTAACAATAGATTTATAATTCCATAGGTGAGGAACAATACATGTATAGTGTATAATTGTATAGGTAAAGGACAATATATTTATAATTCTATAGATGAAGAGTAGATGTATAATCCTATAGATGAAGAACAATATGTGTATAATCCTATAGGTGAAGAGTAGATGTATAATTCTATAGGTGAAGAACAATAGGTGTATAATCCTATAGGTGAAGAACAATAGGTGTATAATTCTATAGGTGAAGAACAATAGGTGTATAATCCTATAGATGAAGAACAATAGGTGTATAATTCTATAGGTGAAGAACAATAGGTGTATAATCCTATAGGTGAAGAACAATAGGTGTATAATCCTATAGTTGAAGAACAATAGGTGTATAATCCTATAGTTGAAGAACAATAGGTGTATAATCCTATAGGTGAAGAACAATAGGTGTATAATCCTATAGGTGAAGAGTAGATGTATAATCCTTTAGGTGAAGAACAATAGGTGTATAATCCTATAGGTGAAGAACAGTAGGTGTATAATTCTATAGGTGAAGAACAATAGGTGTATAATTCTATAGGTGAAGAACAATAGGTGTATAATTCTATAGGTGAAGAACAATAGGTGTATAATTCTATAGGTGAAGAACAATAGGTGTATAATCCTATAGCTGAAGAACAATAGGTGTATAATCCTTTAGGTGAAGAACAATAGGTGTATAATTCTATAAGTGAAGAACAATAGGTGTATAATCCTTTAGGTGAAGAACAATAGGTGTATAATCCTTTAGGTGAAGAACAATAGGTGTATAAGCCTATAGATGAAGAACAATAGGTGTATAATCCTATAGGTGAAGAACAATAGGTGTATAATTCTATAGGTGAAGAGTAGACATATAATTCTATAGGTGAAGAACAATAGGTGTATAATCCCATGTGGTGAAGAACAATAGGTGTATAATTCTATAAGTGAAGATGTATAATTCTATAAGTGAAATTTCCACCAAATATAAACCATTCTGCATGTGTGTTGAGCACTAATTGTTCCACTATGTACCATGATACTCTCTATAAACTGTTTGTCAGCATAAAACATTGGATTATGGGAAATTGTCCTTGGATTCTTTTCTTCTTTTTGAATCCATCATGAACATCTCTGGTAACAAAAATTTATAGTTTTTATCATTAATAATAAATTCCCCATTAAATTGTTTTTGTATGATTTTGTTTCTTTAGAATGTCTGATGATGGTAGTAGACCTGGCAGTGTAGTCCCATCCTCCTCTCCGGAGTGTGTGCAAGATGACGAGCCTTTACGCTTGAAAGGTTTAAGATTGATTGGCCACAAGATGGATTTAGGAAAAGTGCAATCACCATCACCAACATTTCCAATTATCAGACCTACTCCAAAAAAGGGTAAGATTATATCAGCTCAGTTCACCTGCTTAGTTGTTGTTATTTTAATGGTCCACACACTCAGCTCAAGTTCAGTGGCATATGTGCTCAGCACAAATTCAACAAACGTTCATCGCAAGTTGAGTTGTGGTGAACACTCTGCACAAATTCAGTTTTGGGAAACACAAAGCACTATTTCAATTCTTCAATTCTTAAATACCCAACTATAGGGGGCAGTATATACATGTATATGTCATTTTCAGCACTACCAATTCTTAAATACCCAACTATAGGGGGCAGTATATACATGTATATGTCATTTTCAGCACTATCAATTTTTAAATACCCAACTGTAGGCGGCAGTATATGCATATCTATGTTGTCATTTTCAGCACTACCAATTCTTAAAAACCCAACTATAGGGGGCAGTATATACATATCTATGTTGTCATTTTCAGCACTATCAATTCGTGGCATGAAACCAGTTCCTGACAGTCCTGCTAAGTCTACAACCTCATCAACTCCAGCTAATTCATCTGTGACGCTAGAAATATCAGTGACCGCTGCTGACGATGTTAAAGGTGTGATTAGTGCCGTATCAAATATGTTAAAAATTACAGAACCTTCAAATTTTGAAGTGTCTGGAGAGATGCCGGAAAAGAAACCTAAAGAAAGTAAGAATGTTTGCAATAATTACTGTAGATGTAACTTCAACCAACTTGACAAAAATTATCTCCCTTAGAAAACACCTGAGCATGTTTACAGATAACAAAAGTACATTGGGAGTTAGGGGTGTTCTCAAATTAGCAAAGTTAGCCAAAAAAAGCTATTTAGTTTGGGGGTGTTGGGGTCAAAGGACTATTTCATCTAGATGGATTTTAAAATTTTCATACTTTTTAGTTTATTAAAAATATCCTATTTTCGTGTAAAGAAGGGGCATGATGTATGATCTTACATCGTTATTCTTTGGTGAACTTTGCCAATTCGAGAATGCCCCTTAGTTCTGCAATTTTATCATAGTACCAAATGGAGGAATAGAATAAATAAAAGCCTGTTACCGACGATCGTGATGATTATGATGATGAAGACAACGTTCATATATCTGAGATTAACCAAGTCTTTGAGTCCTAATTCTTACTCATTTATTTTACTTAAATTGTTTGTAGGTACTCAAATAAAGAAAGAAAAACCAAGCAATTTACAAAGCTTACTACAGGCTAAGACACAATTCTGTCGACATTGTGATGTCGTCGTGCTTGGTGAAGGTGTTCGCAAAAGATCATCTGATGTGTTATCTGTGAATGATGGTGATAGTGATATGATATTTTGTAGTACCACTTGTTATATGCAATACGCAATCACACATCAAACGCAACAAGGTATTCGAGAACACGCCGCGGCTACCGTTGTGAACCACACCAGTAAGGATCTTGAGTGTAAACAAGAACAATTACAATCCAAAACACAGATACAACAAAAAATACAACAAAATGAAGGTGCTATTAAAGATGAACAGAAAGGCAATAAAGGGAATTTCCGGAGGAGGAAAAATGGCAGTATGGAAGATGCAATCATAGTAAGTGCATTGCTACTAGTGTAATGAACATTTAAATTTTGCATTGAGTAAAAATAGATTCCATATTTATAATATTTTATTGTATATTTCAGACACAACCATTAGTGAAAAAGTGGAAAGATATCCGATGGAAAAAATGGAATGTGAATATTGTACCAATGAAAACATACAAAACGCATAGTGATCAAGATATTGATGATGTAAGTACACATGTATTGATGATGCAAGCACACGTACATTGATGATGCAAGCACGCATACATTGATGTTGCAAGAACGCATATATTGATGATGTAAGTACACATGTATTGATGATGCAAGCACACGTACATTGATGATGCAAGCACGCATACATTGATGATGCAAGAACGCATATATTGATGCAAGTACACATATATTGATGATGCAAGCACACATACATTGATAATGCAAGAACACGTACATTGATGATGCGAGTACACATATATTGATGATGCAAGTACACATATTGATGCAAGCACACATATATTGATGATGCAAGTACACATATATTGATGATGCAAGCACACGTACATTGATGATGCAAGCACACGTACATTGATGATGCAAGCACACGTACATTGATGATGCAAGCACACGTACATTGATGATGCAAGCACACGTACATTGATGATGCAAGCACACGTACATTGATGATGCAAGCACATGTACACTGATAATGCAAGAACACGTACATTGATGATGCGAGTACACATATATTGATGATGCAAGTATAGTAAAACAATATCCTTCAGCCATCCTAGTGCGTTGTATTTCATATTACATATTTATTTATTTTTGTTTGTATCTCTAGTTAATCAGAAAATTAGGAACGTCGCTAAGGCCTGATCCGTCATTAATTGACCACAGAAAGTGTGTATTTTGTTGTGAAATGGGTGATGGTTGTACAGATGGACCTGCCAGGTAACAATTTATAACAATTTATAAATAAGCATATTAACCCTTGAGTGCCAGATTTTATTCTGGTCTAACATTCAGTGCAAATATTTTCACATTTTGTAAATTGTCATCATCATTTTAGGCAATACAGGCAGTTTCAAAAATTGCTTTTAGTTTTGAACACAAATTTTTGTTAATTTTTATCAACATTTCATGTGGAGAAGAGCAGACCATGCAAAGTCATTTTATAGATGGTGCCTATTCAAATCATAATCTTCAAAGTCCTAATGTTTGTCCAGTTTTTTGCAAATTGGGTGTGTATGTCATAAACCATTGAGTTATCAAGCTATTGACGTAATCAGAATAAGCCATATTTGTAAATACTCAATTACGCTATCAGTTTAAGATGTGCTATGTTTTATTGTTTCCAAGGTTACTCAACATGGATGTGGATATGTGGGTGCATTTGAACTGTGCGTTGTGGTCGGCTGAAGTCTACGAAACGCTCAACGGTGCTTTAATCAATGTAGAACAAGCACATAAAAGAGGGGTGTTGATACAGTGCTGTTACTGTAGTAAAATGGGTGCTACTGTCGGATGTCACAAGTTTCGTTGTACCAACGTCTATCACTTTGACTGTGCCATCAGAGACAAATGTATCTTCTTCAAAGACAAGGTGAGCACCACTGTTTGTATTGTTTTCAATGTGCAACTTTGTATCGTAAGGCCATGAAAAATTATCTTTATAGTGTCTTGTGTTTGGGTCACATGTAGTTTCAAGCATAATGAACTGTTGTCGTTGCTTTGAGAAATTACATACATTTGCTTTAACAATCCAAAACCAACAATAGACTACACTGACCACACTGAGACATTTATTTGTTGTACGCATACTGAAAAGTGAATAAAAAGGTGAATATACAACTTTTCATCTAAAAAAAATTGTAGAAAAATGTAGAATGCACCAGAATATAGGAAGGGAAAAACATGTACTACACATTTAAAAAATATACTGGAATACAACTATTTCAATCAGATCTGCACACTTGTATTAGTAATTTTGTCACCTGGTAGGATCTTCATTGCTGTCATATGTCTTTATCCTGTATCTTTCTGTGTTAGCATTGATTATTTCTTTATGCATTGTGCGAAAAACACAATTTACTTGCTCTCAGTACCTTTGATTTGATTTTGATGAATAGCCTTCATGGCATGTACTTCACACTGACTGGAGTCATAACATCAAATTAGACAATCTTACATAACACTGTGCATATGGTATTCTTGTATTACTGTAGAATACTTCATTTTTTTGCTTGGAATTTATTTTCGTTGATAGAATAATTCAGTGAAAATAAAATCTCCCAAATATACCTTTTTCCCTATATTTTACATTTAACTCGTCAAAAAACAGTGACAATAAAATCCATACAAAACACCCCAAACGTCTATTCAGTGAAAATATTTTACAGAAAGTATTTTACAGTACCAGATATGCTGTATAAGATGTACATATGCTTACATAAGTCTTAATAAATTAGTAATCTTAATTGGAATTAATTGAAATTCAAGTTCTCCTGTAATTTTGTGAGGTTTCTGGTCTACATGTGTACTAAAACATGAACATTGAATATGTAATATATTCTTTGGTGCCATTATGTTGTATTCACCACACTAATCATATATATTGTTTCTTCATAGACAATGCTTTGCCCGCTACATTGCCCGTCAAGACAGAGTGAAAACGAACTGAGAACGCATGTTGTATTTCGAAGAGTCTATGTTAGTCGTGACGAAAACAAACAAGTCGCAAGGTATACTAACCAACAGAAACTTAATTTTCATAATGGTGTGCCATATATATACTTCTGCTTTATTATCCCATAAACCACCACTAGAGGGTCCTCACCTACCACTAGGGGCGCTGTTCAATTGTTGGGTAGTTGTGTGTCAAGATTTAATTTGCTTATATTCTTTTTTTCCAATTACAAGTAACTGAATGCATGATTTGTGATTGTATTTCAGTATTATGCAACAAGGAGAAAAGAAACATACGCTGAGGACAGGCAGTCTGATATTCCATTCTGTAGGACAGTTATTGCCTCATCAGTTACAAGTATTCCATTCACAAACTGCCATTTATCCAGTAAGTACACTCGTCTATTGTTCCTCACTGATCGTTGCCATGGTGAGAAATTTGTGCAAATGCCTCAGAATACTACTGCTATGGAGTGTATTTGCTGCTGTTCATTCTTTTCTGTTTTCTGCCAAATTTTTGTTTGCTTAAATTGAGTAAATTTGTTCAAATTTTCTCTAATTTTCACTGAATTCAATCAGACAAAATGTGATATTGCTTCTAGTTTTTGATAACAAATTTTGAAATTTTCGCAACATTATGTGGGAAAAAAAATTAGACTATAAATGGAATTATATTATAGGTGGTGCCTTTAATGCAGAAAGTGTTAATGCCAACTAAATTTGATGAGATTTCTACCAGAGACCTGTGCTGCACAGTAATTGTTATGGCTGTGTAAATTGATAACATAATTTGATTACAAAGCGTGTTGTATTTGTATCTCTAATGCTATGGTGAGATGGCACAGACATATTAAATGTTTCTGGTCATTGTGCAAGTCCATGACGTTTTTTTTCTCAGAATTTAAGTTAAAATGAAACTACTATTTTTAGAACAATTGAAAAAATTAATTGAGTTGACTGCAATTTTTTTTTTCGGAGTCAACAATTTCATAGTGCATGTTATTTTTACACATTCCTAAATATGCCGTTTTTGATTCTGTTTTTATAGGTTGGTTTTGAAACCACTAGGCTGTACTGGAGTATGAGGTATACAAACAAACGATGTCGCTACATGTGCAGTATCCATGACAACTGTGGTAAGCCTGAATTCTGTATAAGGGTTATTGAACAAGGACATGAAGACGTTGTACTCAGAGATAGTACATGTAAAGGTAACTATTGCCGTTTCTTTTCTTTGTGTCGTTTCTGTCATTTGTGCCATTCCTGTTGTTAGTGTCGTTCTTGTTGTTTGTGTTATTTGTGTCGTTTCTGTCATTTGTGCCAGTCCTGTCATTTATGTCCTTCTTTTCTTTGTGTCGTTTCTGTCATTTGTGCCATTCCTGTTGTTAGTGCCGTTCTTGTTGTTTGTGTCATTTGTGTCGTTTCTGTCATTTGTGCCAGTCCTGTCATTTATATCCTTCTTTTCTTTGTGTTGTTTCTGTCATTTGTGTCATTACTGTTGTTAGTGCCGTTTGTGTCATTTGTCATTTCTGTTGTTTATGTTGTTCCTGACGTTTGTGCCATTGTCGTTTGTGTCGTTCCTGTCATTATGTCCTTCTTTTCTTTGTGTCGTTTCTGTCATTTGTGCCATTCCTGTTGTTAGTGCCGTTCTTGTCGTTTATGTCATTTCTGTCGTTTATGTTGTTCCTGACGTTTGTGCCATTCTTGTCATTTATGTCCTTCTTTTCTTTGTGTCATTTCTGTCGTTTATGTTGTCCCTGACGTTTGTGCCATTGTTGTTTGTGTCGTTCCTGTCATTCATGCCATTTATGCCATTCTCATCATTTATGCCATTCTTGTCATTTGTGCCATTTCTGTTTGTATTGTTCCTGTTTGTTTTTTGCTGTTTGTGTCAATCCTGTCATTTGTATCTTTTTATTATATATGGTTAGCTTGCTTATTCTTTAACTGTCATTACATAAATTTATTTTTGCATCTAGGTGTTTGGAGTAAAGTATTAGAATCAATTGAGAAACTGAGACGAGATGCTGTTATGTTAAAACTGTTTCCAAGTTTTATAACAGGAGAAGATGTTTATGGACTTACAGAACCTTCCATTCTTAGAGTAATTGAATCGGTGTGTAAATAAAATTGAATAATTTTTCCATAGTTTTTCAAAAATTTTGATCAAGACCTGTAAACAGCAGGAAATTATGACCATTTGGTTCAAAATTACCAAAGAATTGTAAAAAAAAAAACAAAAAAAAAACGGCAAAATGTTGTCAAAATGTTTCCATTCAAAGGGTTAATCTGTGTACTTATCTGAAATAATAGATAAGCATCTGTTTACTAGAAGGGTCATTGACCTATCCATACTTTATCAATCAATCAATGAGTATTGGCAGATATCATGCGTTATCTGTCAACCTACTTCAGCAATTGTAAATGGTAGATTTTACTTTGATATCTTGAGAAATGTATTTTTGCTAAGTCAAGAAAATTGTTGACTTTTGTATCAGTGAACGTTTCACTTGGATGCAAAAGTAACACTGACTGTCATTAAATTATGTCTATGAATGCGACCTTTGAGCGGTATATTTTATTAGTCAAAAATTGTTCAAGTATGTCTGTCCTTGTCATTGTCGTCCACATCGACAATGTTTTAGTTGAACTGTGTTTGAAACCAAAGAATAGCTGTAATAAAGATGATTTGATCAGTAATACTTTTATACATTATGATATTAACCAGTGTGGTTTTCTTTCACAGCTACCTGGCGTGGAAGGAATTCTCGGTTATATGTTCCGATATGGAAGATCTCCATTGATAGAATTGCCACTAGCTATTAATCCAACTGGATGCGCTCGATGCGAACCTAGAATGAGGACGTACATTAAAAGGTATGTGATATGCCTTCAACTAAATGTGTCAGGAGGAGGGAATGCTTCGCAGTACGCAAATTTACCAATATTTAATTTAGTAAATACATAATTAGAGCATTCATAGCTTGGAGCTAGGTTGTACATTTCCAATAATGTAATCAACTGTTTAATTTTTGATAAATAATAGAACCAATTTAGCATAATTTCATTGAATGAATGCAATAGACATATTATATTGTTATGCTAATTAGCCAATACTTTATTCTATTTTCCTGGAAAAAGATGATGCTTTCAAATGATTCCTGCATGTGTGCGAACATGTGTAATTTTTCAAATGTCAAGATTTTGAAAACATATACAAGGATAAAAACTATCATAGGTTATTGACCTTTGACCTTTGAGTGGCAGGTCATGTGTATTCATTTGTGTTTTCTGTAACTAATATATTTTTCTTATTTACTTCACAGACCGCATACATTGACCAGTAATACATCATCAGGGTCATACCAATCTACGGTGACGGGAGACTTGGCCTCGCCATACACAAAGCAGTTTGCTCATTCCAAGTCATCCCAATACAGACGCTTAAAACAAGAATGGCGGAACAATGTCTACTTAGCTCGATCCAGGATACAGGTGTGTAGAAAAATCAACCCCTCAGCTCAGTGCAGAAAAATCAACCCCTCAGCTCAGTGTGGAAAAATCAACCCCTCAGCTCAGTGTAGGAAAATCAACCCCTCAGCTCAGTGCAGAAAAATCAAACTCGTGTAAAACCATGATCTTAACATATTGTAAAAATATTTTTTTCGCAGGGTATTTATTTTTGTTAATTTGCTGAATGGGTGATTCAGTGAAAACAGTCCAGCGAAAATACACAACACCAAAAAATTATTTTCAGGGAAAATTATATTTAGCTAAAATAAATTATTTTACAGTATTTGCTCTTTTGAAATCACATTACCTCATTGCCTACCTGCTAAGTTTTTTTTTCCATTCATGAAGGCTTTCAGCGAGCAATGTGTTAAATTATTTCTTAAATCGATAAATTTGAGTTTGGTGTAAAATCTCACTGGATATTGCTGTGTCGAAACATTAATGAATAATTATATATTTTATAGGGATTGGGTCTTTTTGCCACGCGTGATATTGAGAAACACACCATGGTGATCGAATACATTGGTACTATTATTCGAAATGAAGTAGCCAATAGAAGAGAAGATATCTACGAGGAAGCCAACCGTGGTGTGTACATGTTTCGTATCAACTCGGATTATGTTATAGATGCAACATTGACTGGTGGACCCGCTAGATACGTCAATCATTCATGCTCACCTAACTGTGTTGCTGAAGTTGTTACATTTGATAAGGAACAGAAGATTATTATCATCTCCAATAGTCGTATTGCAAAAGGAGAGGAGGTTAGTCAAATCAGTACCATAGTTATCTTTCCAAATTTAGGCATAACTGCAAAATAACAGGTCCCTAAATTGAAGCAGAATCAACATTGTAGATGTATCTTTATAATCTTGATCAAGGCAGTGCTGTATATGCACTTGTTTTGTAGTCAAGTATTATTCAAACTGTAGAAATGGGTTAATCTATTCTGAACTGTCATACATCATATGCATAGAAAAATAGCTATATCGAAATCAGCGTTAGTATACCTACCTGCATGGATGACTGATATTGTGCTTGTGGATGTATCAATCGATGTAACAAAAATAACATTCTCTTTTACCAAATATCAGCAGACTGACGCGTTTGTCACCATGACAAAAGCAGGCGTCTTGCTTGCACCCAAATCTTGCTAGTTCTGGAAAGATGGTTTATTGTTATTCATTACCACTTGGGGGCAGTATAACTATTGTGCTATTCCTGTATTACCACTAGAGGGCACCATAACTATGGTGCTATTCTTGTTTACCACTAGAGGGAAGCATAACTCTGTTTTGTAGATTTTAAATCACCATAACTGTCTTTCTTTTTTATTTACAGCTGACATATGACTACAAATTTGACTTTGAAGACGACAAGAATAAGATATCTTGCTTATGTAAAGCAGTTAATTGCAAGAAGTGGATGAATTAATAAAAACAAAAAAACTATTAAAAAAAAAATGACTAACATAAATAGGCTCTAAACAGCTTAGCAGTGTTAAAATCAAAATAGAATTTATTTTGGGTACAAATATCAATTTTAGGATATTCAAATAAGGATCATGTAAAAAAATCATGATATAATTGCATTAATTTTGTAAATATGGTTTCAGATATTATTTTTGTGCCAAACGGGTAAAAAAAAAGTACAGGAAATAGTGATGAATTCAGTTGATAATTGTTTTTTAAACAAGGCATGATTTCGTGTACAGTATACAAGACAATATCATATTTTGAGTCAATATTATTTTTTCTCCAGATTAATGTTCATCATGTAAAGTAATTTGATTGGAGAATAACAACACTGTATAAAAGTATTTTTCCCCTCTGCATTTTTGACTAGGAGGGCTAGTTTTCAGAATAGCTTATTCAATGTAAAGTGACTTTTGTAGGGAGGAGTACATCTTAATTTCCGTGTATGGGGAGAAAATATTGAATAATAAATCATAGCTGTAATTCTGAGAAATTTAATTTTTTTTGAGCAAGAGAGTAAGTAATCATGAATTTGATTGTCTTTATACATGTAATATACATTGGCATAAAAAATTAAAAGTCATTACGAGTTTATTTAGTTACTGTCCTTGTTTAGTCTACTTTATATCATTATCTTATTTTTTTTATCTGTATGTTTTTTTTGTGTGTGTGGTGTCTGAATGTGTATCAGCCATGGCTTACTTTTCCAAGGTAGATCAGATGATGATCAGTATGAACAGAAATCTTTACAATAAATGACTTTTTAAACAAGTAATATAATACTTTGTTTGTGTGGTTATTGAAAGCATCTCCTTTAAAGTTGCATTGTTGGCAAAATTTAGTTGGAAGCACATTCAATTTTGAATAACTTTCCCAAAACTTGTTTTTTTTAAAGGGCAGTGGTCGTCGCGTCTTGTTCGATATGGAACAATTATAGCAATGAATACATATTAAATGAAAGTGTTGGCCACGCCGCGTTCTGTTCGATATGGGACTCATAGCGACGTATACAAGGCGTTTAAAATACATTGTTTATTTACATGAAATTCGAACACGCGCTGCGCGACGACCACCACGCTTTAACCCCATCATGCATTGCTGTTTGAATTCTGTTTTAGAAGCAGAAATGAAAAGCATCTAACCAAGGAAGTATATGTTTGAAATTCTCTTCTGTGATACATCAGTGTGGGAAATTCCTGCAAATAATGTGGTAGGCACCAGGGGTACCAACATGGTAGTATTCTGTAAAGGAAAATACTTGGGTGACTGTCGTCAAAAGCAGCCATGTTGTGATGAATTTTTTTACCGGTTATAGTGTAGAGAAATGTGCGAATCAATGCTAAATTTTTCCAGTGGTGACGTTTGAGTGTAAAATCGTGATTTACCTTGGGGCTTCGTTTTGTAGGTAGTATTCTGTAAAACTAAGACCTTTGGGTGACTGCTGCTAAAAGCAGCCATATTATACCGTATTTGTTTTGATTAGTGTATGGTTAAGAGATGCGTTTATTAGTACTTAATGTCTACTCATTTTCGGTCTTCATTTTGGATACACCTGTACTTGTAACCAGTATGTTTACAACAGGCTAGGTATCACTGTTTGCATAGACTTGTTTTGTTAGCTCCGCTGTCGACTTTGTCGAGCGGAGCTTATCATATGAGTGATTGTCCGTCGTCGTGCGTGTCAATGTTTTACTTTTTCGACTTCTTCTTGAAAACTACAAGCCTGAATGCTTTGATACTTGGTGTATATGTACCTTGGGTAGACCTCTCTTAGGTTTGTTCATTTCATGTTGATATCTTCAATTCTCTAATTTTGGTGAATATTTTTGTCATTTTTGGTAAAAAGTGATATTTTCGACTTCTTGTTGAAAACCGCAAGTCCAATTGCTTTGATATTACATATATAGGTACTACATGTGGACCTCTCTCAGATTTGTTCATTTTGTAATGATATCTTTAATTCTCTAATTTTGGTGAATATTTTTTTAATTTTTGGTAAAAAGTGATATTTTCGACTTCTTGTTGAAAACCGCAAGTCCAATTGCTTTGATATTACATGTATAGGTACTACATGTGGACCTCTCTCAGATTTGTTCATTTTGTAATGATATCTTTAATTCTCTAATTTCGGTGAATATTTTTGTAATTTTTGGTAAAAAGTGATATTTTCGACTTCTTGTTGAAAACCGCAAGTCCAATTGCTTTGATATTACATATATAGGTACTACATGTGGACCTCCCTCTCAGATTTGTTCATTTCATAATGATATCTTCTGTTCTTTAATTGCCATGTGCATTGCTAACAGCGGAGCTATCTCAGCCGACAGGCTGCTTGTTTTTAATTTGCGATGTATTATTGTTCATTTGCAACAAGTTACAACAAGATTGTGAAATTGTCCTGTTATTGGTCATCCTTCAGGTTGTTTTGTAACCAATTTTTGAATACACAATGTATCAAATTCTACTACATGTAGTTTATGTCATTACTCCACTAAGAAGGGTTGCATAGAATTTCTTGGAATGCAACATGTTTTGAAATATGTAAACCGAATCTTGCTTGTTAAACGTTTTAATTCACATTCCAAGTGTTACAATGAAGAAACAACAGCAGTTACATGAAGCTCTTACTTAACTCTTTAATCAATTCTTCACCGTGATTGGCTGTCAAGCTGGCAGTTATGAAACTCATTAACATATTTACCAGTCAAAAAATTGATGGATTTCTCAATTGCACCTGTGAAGGCAAAACGGTATTTGCAGTCTGGATGATTTCTTAATCGTGTCAAATAGTTTGTGAAACTTCCATTTTTGCTTATCTGACAGCACCATGCAATCGTGCACAGAAGAATTCCACATACATATGACATATTCAGTGACAGAGGAGCGGTCGCCCCCTTCGAAAAAAATGTTGGGGGGGCCTCCAAAATAGAGCTGAAACCCTTTATGTTAGCAAAATTTGCCCCTCAAAATGCAGGAAATAGCATTTCAGAGGGTCTAGATTTCCAAATGTTTAAGGGAGAACATGCCCCTGGACCCCCTATTAAGGTTGCCTAATCGGCACGAGGTTGGTGAGCAGATCTCGATGGCTCATTGTGTTTAAATATCAATTTAGGTATATTACAAAGATTAAATATTTATTTTGTGTTATGAACACAAAAGCAAATTAGCTATTTAATATGCATGGACATGGCCTTAAAACTATTCACGCCTGCTCATCACCTCATAGGTACCTATATTCAGAATATATATTGAGGTTGCTTTTGCGTTCTACATCTAAACTTTAAATTTCAGGTTTTTACAAGACATCGTCTGAGAAAGTGCAATACAAATACAGTGAACAAATGCAACCAGAGTTAAGTTTTTAAGGGTGTTTTGAGTGGTTCTTAAAACTCGGCGGAGAGTAGTAGAGATTTAACATGACAACTGTACTTTAGTCCGTTTAATTCGCGATGCCCCCCCCCAATAAAATTGATCAGTGTATGGTTAGAAGATGTGTTTATTAGTATTTAATGTCTACTCATTTTCGGTTTTCCTTTTAGATGCACGTGTACTTGTAATAAGTATGTTCACAACAGGCTAGGTATCGCTGTTGGCATAGACTTGTTTCTTTGTTGTTGAAAATGTGTCACTTAGGCGTGTATGTAACTTTATAGCGTCTATAACGGTCATTGGAGTATCTAGGGAAGTGTCTGGGGATGTTGCAAAGTCCCTCGGTAATTACCTACCGGGTGCGGGAGTTAGGTGTATGTAAATATATTGTGCCCACTGTAACATGACAACTGTACTTTAGTCCGTTTAATTCGCGATGCTCCTCCCCAATAAAATTGTTCAACTTCTGCTCTTAACTTTTTATGCAAAATACAACACAGAAATAATTTATAACAAGGGAATTGTGAAAAAATTCAACGTGACGCAAACTTGACATACAGTGCACTGATGTTAGTATATTATTAGGTTGTATCATGCAACAAGTTCAAGTTGTCGACTGTCAAAAACATAATCTCATCAAGTGTACCGATGTTTAATTTTTTTTTTTAATCACGACATATTTATAGTTAATAACATACAAGATATAAACAAACAAAAGTAAACACATCGTGTTTTTTAACGCAAGAGTTTCAGTAAATAAATATACCGTGCTTCTGACAAATCTATTAAATAAATATAGATACGCCGTGCTTGTGACTTACTAGATATAAGAAAATAAACCACAGACTTATTCTCTTTCTAAGGTCTATGAATAAACTTATGTTTGTCGTGTTTATAATTTACGAGTTTAGATTAGAATTTGATCAACAAGCTTTAGTTTTTTGCCTTATATTCAATGTCAGATAATATAATTTACCTCCATTTCCTCACGTAAATACCAATGAATATATCCCCTTGCTTATAGATATGCTAAAACTTGTGTTGATTTAGTTAGAAAGCAAGCCATTATGAGGGTTGAATTGGCTGGACAACAGTGCTCTGCTTGCTTCGAAGCAATATCAGTATTGTCTAAATTTAAGCATGTTTATTTATTGATCTATAATTTTATTTCTGATATTTGTGCTTATCTCCCTTGTTTTGAATGGTTTCTTCCATTCTCACCTGGAACCTAGTCGACTAATTTACTGATGCATGATGGGTAACGTAAAATACAGTAACTGAGGTACATTTTCCAAGATGGCGGCGCGGAAGAAAGACGGAGGTGCCGATATTAAATTTTGGGAATCTGGAGAGACTATTGCCCAATTTGATAACATTAGAACATGGCTACAGAAAAACTGCAAAAAGGTAAAAACGATTGATTTCTGTTTGACCTGCAGATTAACGTCATATCACCTCGATCACTGTTTTTTATCGGCTCACATGGTCGTTCTGCTTTGTTGTCTGTTCGTTTTTATTGTTCAAACGGTTAATACATTGTCAACATTGAGTTATATTCGCCGAATTATGAACCAATGATCACATAGCAGAGTGTACACTTACTCGACATTACAGTGAATATGTTATACAACGATGAATTTGAGATGTTTTCTCATTTCTGAATGCAACAACGGCCAAAATGCTGTACGAGTCCCTTTCCAGTACACTGCTAGACACTCGTCTATCCCCACTGTTTCGGGTGGTATTAGGGAATGAAGTAATCCATTTGATTGCGTAATTCTCTATTTACAATTTCGTGTTGTTGTTTATATTCACTAGGGTGCAACAGTACATGATATTTCATAATATGTCGCTTTTACTATTTAGCATCAGTAAATACTAAGGATTTGTTTATTGAGATGAAGTATTGTGAAGAAAGTCACATTGCCTTTTGGTCCGAAACTAAAAAGATGCCTTGCGATATCACAAAATACTGTAAAATACTTTATTTTAGCTGGAATTAATTTTCGCTGAAAAGACTTTTATGGGTGTTTTATATGGAATTTATTTTCACTGATTTTTGACAAGTTGGATGTAAAATATATATAAAAAAAAAGTTCATTCGCTGGATTTTATTTTAACTTAATCATTCCTTCAGTTTAAATAGCGAAAATTAATTTCAAGCAAAAATAAAGTATTTCACAGTGGACTTTTTTCCCGCTCAATATGAAATCCTGTGTTATACATAAAACCAAACATTAAAAAAAAGGTCATAGTGGTGTCAAAACTTCTTGTGGTATTCAACAAATATGAACATAGTTTTGAGTATAATGCTAATTGAATGTATGATACACATTTGATGATTTTTGGTCTGTTTTGATGAAGTAAGGGTTTCTCAATATTCCCCTCTGAGACATCAGCATTTCAATATAAATTTTAAAATCGACGTTCAATCTGCACCTGTCATGCAATACACAAGATCCCACAGTGAATGGAAAGTCACCTTTTCTGCTTCCCATACTTCATTCCAATTAACAAGGATTTCAGGATTGTCTGAGGGCAAATTTTGTAGTCAACATTTCATTGAGGTCTTTAAAAGCACGTGTAATGCACCATGGTAGGCACAAAAATAAACTGATTGGGAAAACCTTTTTCTTCTCATCAGTCTCCCCTTGTACTATTTTGAGGAACATTTTCAATGGTTGTTGTTTTGACTTTGGTACTTTTATTCCCAATAAGCCATTGTTCTTTTATGCCAAAATGGTATTTATGGTCTGATTTACACAGTCTGAAAAGAATTCTGTGAAAGCTTAGCCTAGTTAAATATTGGGCAATGAATAACAGTACCTTTAACAGAATTTTGTCTCCACAAGTTAAATCAGAATCACGAAAATATATAGCAATAAAAGGGGTGTACATGCACAACATAGACAGCAACTTTGAGTTTAGCGTAGAAAAATACAATTTTAATTATTGGCTCATCATTTCATAAGTTTAAACAATTCTGAAAGCAATTTTCTGGATATTAGCAACTTTGAACTACCCCATTTGGTCAGTTAGCAAAACTTTAAATTACCCTCATTTGCCTGTTTACCTTTGCCTGTTTACCTACCTGTCCCAGGTAAAATCTGCCTGTCTGGTACATGTGGGCCCCTGCCTTGGATGATTGTAACAATGATAATTTAAAGTAAAAATTTAGTACACATTGACTCCAGATCAAAATTCGCGGTCTTGGTTGGGGAGTGTATTAGATTGTGAGAAAATCAATGTTTATCAACACAAATTTGCACATAAGTGGCACAATGACCACTGCCCTCAATTTCATAATAAACTGGTTTACAGTAAATGTAACAACACTATTGACTTGGTTGAAGATGTCTGACATTGTTTTGTGTATCTACAGTATACCCAAATGGAACCACCCACCAACAAAAGCCTGGCTAGCTTGGTGGCACAGCTTGTGCAATTCCAGGAAGATAATTTTGGCAGGCACGTCAGTAAACCAGCACTGACCAGGTTACCGGTATGTACTACCATTTACTAGTAATTATTTACCAACCATCATTAAAGTGCCATGGTTGTCTGTTTGTTTCATGTTCACAACATATAAACAATGTGTTTTACTATTTTTATTTTTACTATGTTGTATTAAACACAATGTGTTGCAATGACTGTGGTGTTTTGATCTTTTCCACCACAAGACTTTCTCGTCCATTTTTTTCTGTACTTTTTTTCTTATATTCTTCAATATTTCTGGAAATAAACCCTAATTTTGGGGCCAACAGAAAAATTTGAGTAAATTTTCAATTTTTACCCAAAAATTTTGACTATTTTTGCCCCAGTTTTCTGAAGGAATTTGCAGACTATAAACCAGATAATTTTGTGAATTTGTGATAAACAAAGGAAACTGGTGGTGAAAAGATTAAGGGTGTTGCTCATGGCACCATGCCGTGTTAGATATGCTATATGCTACTAGGTACTGCTACTACATGAATGACAGACATCCTGCTTACATACAATTTTCTAGAGATTTACATTGTATGGATTCATTTTCGGGAAAACGGTTCATTATGTGGTAGCTAAGGCCTCTGAAAGTCGTCATGTTCAGATCCATAGAAAATGGTAGAGGATTTTTTTATAGGATTAACAATTGATTTTGTGCAAGCGTATTTCAATTATTTTGTTTCAATATCCAGTGGTTCTCCTGAGGATAGAAACAGTGTGACTTTGCCACAGTTACTATCCTGATGCCACAATAGTATGTTATTAATCATTAAAATTTCTGTTTTGAACATTTTTACCCTCACAGTGGTTTAAATTTCTGTGGAGAAAACTGATATCAATGCTTTAAACTTCAGGGTTGATGTCATTCTGTGACTTCTTCATACTGAACATGCATTCACTGCTAATAAGTACCAGTATTTCTGAAGCCTATGACCAATCCAATGATGATACTGATATAATTGTACATGTTGCTTATAAACTGCAATTAAAAATATTGCATTATTATTGTTTCAGATGAAATGTTTTATGGATTTCAAACCTGGTGGTGGTCTATGCCATATTTTATCTGCTGTGTATAAATTTAAAAGTGATCAAGGATGGAGACGGTTTGACTTCCAATCACCATCCCGTATGGATCGTAATGTTGAGATGTTTATGAATATTGAAAGAACGCTGGTTCAAAATAAATGTTTGTCAATGCCGATAGTTTTCCTCAGATCGGAGATTGATGGCAAACTTTTAAACAGGCTAAAAGACATCGTCACAAGGCATAGGGTAAGTTGGTTGGTGTAATCATCGCACTAAGCATGAGTTGTGTACTGTAAAATACTTTATTTTAGCTAGAATTTCGCCGAAAAGACTTTTTGGGTGTTTTGTATGAAATATACATTCACTGATTTCGGATTAGTTGGATGTAAAATATAGAAAAAAGGGGTATATTCGCTGGATTTTATTTTCACTGAATCATTCCTTCAGTGAAAACGGCGAAAATTAATTCCAAGCAAAAATAAAGTGTTTCTCTAGTATGCATGTACATTGACTGGTATTTGTATGGAACACCAGCGATACAGTGATCAGCACTCTTTATATATTGTAAATGGGCTTTCACTAAAGATAAAATAGTTTAAGCCGCATTGGCTAAGTACTGAATTGTTTTTCTTAGCCAACTTATTTAACCATTTTGCAAATGAGAGGGAATGAAAAATAATGTGTCAGATTTGTGTAGGAAATTGTAATATGCTACTGTAACATACACATTATATCAAACAAGATTTGCAGAATAAAGTAAGCAAATAACACCGAATAAACGGCAAGGTAAAGACTATGTCTAATTATAGTAAACACGTACTGCGTGCGTGACTCGAACCGGCGCTCACGTACGGCACCTAATCGCCTAGCTTCACGCCAATACACGTCTTCCCCTCGGCCACCGGGCATCCCCAAAAAAGGATGCTTAATAACCGAGCTTATTACGTGCAGAGAACGTGAAACCCGTCCACGCGATCCGCGCCGCACAGCGGATCACATTTATTTTTTGAAATGACTTTAACCCATTTGTGGCGAATACAGTTGAAAAGTTTGCGAAAGCCCAACATGATTCTAAATCTATGAACAAGTTCAGTTACTATGATTGCTATGTTTTGTGTCAACCCATACACATGGTGTTTTGATCAATTTACAATATTATCTTTTACAGGGTACAATCACTGAGGATGAAGACTGTGCTACTCATATTGTATTTCCACCTCCATCACAACCTGTAGAAGGTAACGATTGCTGGTCTTTATAACGAATGAAATATCACAGAATTCTGTTTTTTGTAAAGATTTTATGTTGATTAGACACCAAATTATGAACGTGCCTTTGTAAACTTGTAGAAGTTTTAGTTTCTATACCTTAACCAATTTTTAAATTGTACAATTGTTGTTTTTGTATTCAAAATTCAACTATTCCACACCTCAAACAGAAGACGTTAAACGCAAATGGCTGCTGATGTTTTGTTGAGAACATGAGAGCCACTAGCATTGTTTAATGTTCTTTAAGTTCCATTCTCTCCTTTCATCTCGTCCACTGTAACGATAGAGAATAGAACACTGTAATGGGCAAACATACAATTTTTGTGATTTCTTTGCTCTTAACAAGATGTTGGTGGCCATTTGCAATTAAGGTCTGTTGCTGTTTCAAGATGAGCCTTATAGATATGTACTGTGGATTAACTTAGTTATCACCATGGTTTGTATTTTTTTTGTCATCAGAGGATTGGCTTCGTCCAGTTGTACGACGTGATAGGAATACATTAGTACATTGGTGGTATTATCCTGACAGCTATGACACATGGGCTCCTAACTCTGATGTAGATCAAGAACCAGAAGGCACACCATCTCACCAAGGAGAGTGGGAGGTAGGATTTACCCCTACTATTGATGCTTTATGGACCTTTGTCCAGCATGTTCTGATTTGCTTCTATAAATGTAAAATTACACAAAGACTGTTACATCATATGTAATGTTCTGAGAGAGAACAAACTTATCTTTGGTAGTACCTTTTTGTTAGTCCTTTGAATGAAACTAAATATAAAGCAAGTTGATAGCACTTGTGCTAAGACTAGCAGTGTACTTATACTGGGTAACAAAGATGATTCTTTAAATTCATCTGAAGATTACTTGCTGAATTTTGAACATATTAATAGTCAGAATCTTGAACAGTACCAGTTAAAATCATGTATGTCTGCTTCCCAAGTTCTACTTAATTCCAAAGGACTTCGGTGCCCCTGGGCCCCATGTTAGTTGTTGTTTATTATCTAACAAAAATGTTGTGGCCTTTGATTTCCTTTGTATTTTCTTATTTTTGTTATAAAATGTCAATTTCTTTTGCCAAAATATAAATTCCATAATTATAATATAATGTTTATCAAGATCACTAGATTAATGTATGACATTATGTTGTGTTAATGATGTACCAGTGAATTAACACAAGTAGCTGTGTCACAGCAAATCTATGTGCATATGGACTTAGAGGTCACACTGGTTCTGATCTTACTTGAGAAGGCTGCATAATATGAATCTGACTTGATTTGCAGGTGAATGCTAAATGGTTACTTGATTTAGATGAGTTCAATGAGTGGATGAATGAAGAAGATTATGAGATGCAGGAAGAGGTGGGTCATCTTTCAACTACTGTAAAATACTTTAAATTATTTTAGCGGGAATTAATTTTTGCTTAAAAAATATTTTGGTTGTTTTGTTTGAACCTTATTTTCACTGATTTGTGAGGAGTTGAATGTAATGTAAATTAGATGTAAGGTGTTAATGAGATGCTAATTTATTCCCACACTGGGAGTTCAATTACGTAAAACAAACATACCAGCAAAAAACAAAATCTTAAATGACACGACTTTTTAATATCTTTGAGAGTGGACAAGAACATCACAGTTGTATTAAAACAAGATTTCACAGTAAGGCTTGACTTTAAGCATAACGATCAACACGATACATCGCATAAATACCTTCCTGTCAGATCAGTCGCTTCAATCAATCAAGAGCCAAGATGCAAAGGATCATAGGGCTAAATGTGTGATTGTTGGGTATCTATCTTCTCAACAGAGTCAACAGTTGAGGCAGCTAACCATAAACTGATCAAGAAAACAGTTTCTTTTTGTTTGTCAGATGCACAAGTCATTGACAGACTTATAATGCTGTGGGCCAATATTTGGCATCAAAAAAAGTTTACAAATAATTGCCAATGCCCTATTCATAAAAGTTATTTTCAGTAGAATTTCGATCCAAGAAAATAAATGCCTTGGCTGACATGAACTGATTGACACAGTCCACAAAGCGTAACAGTTATGTAAAACCATGTTGTTATTCAATAATCCATCAATAATTGAAATGAAACAAATTGAGAAAACAATACTGTAAACATCATTAAACATGGTTTTGTTGAGTATTCAGCAAGCTAGCACAGCGTGAACTAATTCTTAAAAAAATAAATAAAATAAAATCTAATCTAATCCAATCTACCATACTAGTTTTTAAAATGGATGGCCTAACAATGAATACAATAAATTAGTCTATTATAGTGTTAATTAAATTAGCCACAACTCTGATATTTTTATTTGGAGAACACTGCGTTTGTACTTCAATGACAGCTTCAGCTCTAGTGGTTCTAAATTTGGTTGATATATAGTGTAATATATGTACACCATACCCTACGGTAATGTGTAGTCGTATTGTGTTTTATGTTCAGGGTGATGTCAAGAAAGAGTCAGGTCGGGGGAGAAGAAAAGGATTACGAGCTAAGACAGCTTGTGATGAGGTTGGTCATTTCATCAGTACCGTATTTGCTCTGTTTGTAAGCGCATGTAATTAACATAAATGCATGTCTAAGATCAAAATAAGTTGTTTTCATGATCAAAGCATTCCATAAATATTTGGTTTATGTGCACTTCTAACAAAGCGAATACCATAACCTCCATCTTGCTTTATTATCCATCAAATCATCAAAGTCTAAACCATTGTAATATAATGAGCAATGAATTTCTGTGAGTTTGAAGTGAAATTTAACTGAGGTTCATTAGAAAGTGGGTAACATTCAATCAGTGAATTTTTGTCATAGTGTGAATGAACATTTTTTTTGTCAAATGTAATAGTAGAGTTGTACTAGTGTGAAAATCATGCAACTAGTCATAGTGACTCATGATTTTTATTAAAGTGTGAAGATAATTGTGTTCTTTAATTATTCATTCTTTAACCATTCTCATGATGTAAGAGTTTTCCCGACTAAATTTGGCAGAAATCATTGCGATTTTTCATTCATAGAATCTCAATGATTGACAGATTTTTCCTGACTTCGAGAAATCACACACACACCATCAAAAGCTGAGTAAATTTGACATTAGAGCTACAGAATTGCAGACATATTGAAACTCAGCTTGTCTATTGCACTTTTGCTAGTCCAGGAAACAAGGTGCAATTTGTATTATAGAACACCTAATAGTTAAACCCCCATAATTGGGTAGGCATGGGATTTCTGCAGAATTGAAAAGTAGTGATTGTTTGAGCTCTAGATACGAGTATATAGATGCTTGAGATATGACATTTTGTGGTGTGTAATCATGTCATACACAGGTGTCAGAAACATAGACTTGTACCCATTATAAATCAGTGCATTCTTTCCCACTGTTCAGTTAATTCAATGTATTCATTCTATTGCAGGTTGCTCCAAGTCCTGAAACAGACAGGAGAGAAAAGAAATCCGCATCATCCAAGAAACGAAAGAGATCTCCATCCCCAGCTGATACAAAGAGGAAAAAGAAAAGGTATTTATTATCACATACAAAGTAGTTTTGAAAATAACATATTCAACCTCTTTCTATCATTTACATTTGATGACAATCCACTATAGCGATCAACTAAAAAAAAATTTAAAAAAAAAACAAACTGTTTTTTTTTTGCCATTTTGGACCGTTATCTCAGATTAATTTACTGCAAGAACGCTGGCTGTATGGGATTACATTGACTTCCACTACCAGTCACTTGATACAATAGTAATTCTCGTGATGACCTCATGTTATTGACATCAAACTGTGGACCATAGATCACAAGCGATTATATGCATGTCAAAAAATATGATTTATATTAAAAAACATGTTTAAAGCAGTTTAAAGATAACTGCATTAAGTAATATTAATTATTTATACCAATTAAGTGGACGTCCAAGTGCGGCTACCAAGAAGAAACCTGCTAAGGAGGAAGAGCCTGAGGATTACACAAAAGATATGGATGATCCACCAGAAACACCAAGTGTAGAAGAAGTAGTTTTACCAAAAGGTAATTATTAAGAGTCTGCTGAATTTTTACAGTTTATTTATACTCTCTAATTAAATATAATAGCTGATTTCCCTTATTTATTAATATCTTTCACTTCATATAAACAAGAATACCACAAGGTTTGCACAAAAGCAGTACAGTGAACTTCTCCATACTTGAGTCAAAGCATGGTTACTCATTTGCATATGATATATTGTTAATTTACATATGAATGTATCATGGTGTAATTAACATATTTATAACTTCTATGTTTTCATGAAAACACTGCCATGCCTAAAAGGCAAGTGAGAGAACACTGGAGTAGCAGAGGCCAATATGTCATTTTACTGCCTCAGTGTGTATTTAACAAAATCCTTGGATGACTTTCAAGTCATCAAGTTTAAGTCCTTGTTACTCATTCTAATTCCTTTACCTAAATTAAATTGTTTATTTCAGTATCGAGTAGTTCTCGTTCCAGTAAAGATATCGAGACTCAACCTATCAAAGGAGGATCATTAGCTGACTTAGATGACACAGACCCAATGGTAAAAACATCATCATCATAACATAAAATCATTTATCAAATTGATGCTGTATTTCAATACTAGTATTGCTTTCTTCAATTTAGTTCTGAGGCAAACTCTGATCTGCTCTATAATAGATAAACATTTATTAGGGTTAATAAGTTATCATTGACCCTCTGCATAACTGAATTCACCTTTGGAATTCAATCAGTATTTAATGTCCTGGATAGTCTCACGGATTGCACAAACCCCCAATATTAGACAGGAACATTGTAGTACAAGAAAGAATTATATTAGTGATAAAGGGCACACAGACCATATTGTCAACTGTTTTGTCACAACTGCATACATTCAGACACTCTAACAGATGTATGACAAAATATGTTTATCACATTGTATTTATGTCACACTCTGTATATTAGACATAAACAACATTTTATTTGACAGGCTAAATTTCTTCAAATCTGTCCACTTCAACTGTAAATTACAAAATAATCATAAATAATCAACAAGTCTGTTAATATATAGTTTTTAGATGGGCTCTGTTAATTATTCGACCTATAGTATAACCCAGCATAAAAGACGTACTCTTACATTTATTTTGTCCCACTGTACCACACACTTCATTTTGTTTATTCAAATCATGTGTGTTTGCATTCACAGGATGATAGTGATTCTAGGATGAAATCTGGTCCCGCTACTCCCGCTTCAGAAGATAAAAGTCAGAAAGTGAACGAGGTTGATATTAAGGAAGACAACGTAACTGAACAAACACATCATATTATTATACCAAGCTATGCAGCATGGTTTGATTATAACAGTTTACATTCCATTGAAAGAAGAGCATTACCAGAATTCTTTAATACGAAGAACAAATCGAAAACCCCCGAAGTGTGAGTAACAAATGTAGCGCATCCTTAATAAAGGCGCATGAGAGATAAATAAATACTAGATTTGGTTCTATTGAAATGCATCAGCTGCACTCTGTTTTCATTACTAGCTTACTGGTGTATGTAAATCAGTAATAAATAACTGTTATTAGTCCCAGTCGTGTCATCAACCAATTTCCCAGGCATGCCTGGGCCAATTTTATTCAAACTTTGTATGAACACCACACATGATGTTTTGTTTGGTGATCATGTTCAATTTATTTGTACGTGTATTAAACTATTGCTGTGACATCAAAATTGATATGAAAACAAGACATAATTTTGTTGCTTTAAGTATTAATTCAGCAGAATACAAAGTACTGTAAAATAATTTATTTTAGCTGTAATTAATTTTCGCTGAAAAGACGTTTTGGGTGTTTTGCATGGAATTTATTTTCACTGATTTTTGATGAGTTGAATGTAAAATATAGAAAAAAAGGTATATTCGCTGGATTTTATTTTCACTGAATCATTCCTTCAGCGAAAATAGTGAAAGTTAATGCCAAGCGAATATAAAGTATTTCACAGTAGACTTAACCTTGCTTGCTTATATTTTTCAGATACATGGCATATCGTAATTTCATGATAGATACTTACCGCTTGAACCCTGCAGAGTATTTAACATGTACAGCATGTAGAAGGAATTTAGCCGGGGATGTTTGTGCGATCATGAGGTAAGATACCCATTTATAAATCTGCCTGCAAATAAGATTTGTGTATTTGATTCAAGTTTTGTCTTTCAATAATTGAAACCCTAGTTGTACTTATGAAAATAAAGCCAGATATGTCATAGGTACTTTACTGGTTTGCCATTCATCTCTCAAAATTTTTTCACTCATGGGTACTCTGGGCAACATCAAAAGTTGATGTAGGATAACTAACATAATCCCTTTGGGGTTTTTTTTTTTTGGGGGGGGGGGGCTTTTCTAAATGAGTTTCTATCTTACAAAAACGTTTTTTTATTTTAGTCCAGATGAAGTATTTGTTGGCCATGCTTAAAGTATATATGGCAAATTTAATGCTCTGAAAGTAAAAACCACAAGGTAGCATTTACTATGGAAATAATTTACATAATAATGAAACTTTGTCGTTTTGTATGTTTAATATAATAGATATGTTTTTACTATGTTCACATTTCTACCCAAATTGAACATATTGCCAATTTCATGTGTAAAAGAGGGTTAAAGTGGAGAGAATCTTCATTTGAGTTTAAATGTTGCCCCTTGTACTACATTTACTGATACCTATTACAACAGTAAGACACACAAGTTGTGATGTTCATCGTTTTGGATGCTATAACGACTGTATTATGCAGATAATTGGATATTTCCTTCAAATGCATTTAAAATTTCAGTGCCTTTATAATGTAGAAGTTGGAGTTCTTCGACTAACTGCACCAGTGAGGTTTAATTATAAAAATGTTTTCTTATATTAACAGAGTACATGCTTTCCTAGAACAGTGGGGTCTTATTAACTACCAAGTAGATGGTGATAATAAAGTAACTTCAATGGGACCTCCACCAACGTCACATTTCACTATATTAGCAGATACACCATCAGGACTACAACCATTACAACCATCTAAAACTAGCCAGGTATGAAATTATTAAATGCTAGATTTGTGCATTTCACATATGAAGAATAACCTTTTTAAAAAAGTATTTACTGTCCTTAACTAATATTTACCAACATTGATTGTTCTCTACTAATATTACTAACTGTTGTTAACTAACAATGACTGTTGCTAACTAACAATGACTGTCCCAGACAAACACTAACTGTTTAAGATTAACAGACTTTTCCTGGAAAACGCTGACTTTCTCTACCTAACATCAACTGTCTGTATGTCTAATTGTGTCTCTAGAGACAGTAAAATTGTTTTTACCATAATAATATTTTGATATTTTTGTTCACAGCAATCTGCAGCTCAGCAAGTAATGCAATTTAATGAGCCTAATAAAGATGAGAAAACCGGACCTGATTTGAATAATTTTGGTCTTAGAACTGACATGTATGCCAGCAAAAAGGCAGCCTTTGTCAAGGTAAGTAACCTTTATTTATTCATTGGTTCAGAATTTACATAAAAATTATAGAAAACTATATAAAAAAAATAAAACATTCAGAAAATAATGATGTTCAAAGGGATAAATAATATTTTTCATGTAAAATTAAACATTGTTTTTTTAGGATTTTAAAATTCAAATAAAAAAAAAACACATGCAATGTTTTTTGCAAAATAAATTGACCTGAAACTATGCTTAAAGATGCTTTCTAATTGGTTGACAAATCATGAGTCAAAAATCCACAATTTTGAAAAATTAAATTCTCTGTTTATAACCAAAATAAGCATAAAAACAAGAGAAATCAGTGGCCACAGTATCTTAAGTTTGCGCCTACAATACAGACCTTTCTCTAGCAGTCAACTTGATTTTGTTTTGACTTCAGATCACTACAAAATCGGTTCTTTTAGAGGGTACACTGCATTGGATCCATATCGAACATGACTTGGTGTGATGACTGTGATACTTTAATAAACATCTGCTGCTTTTTTTTTACTAGCATACAAATCGTACAATAACAAGTCGTGATTGGGCAGATCAAGAAACATTACTTTTATTAGAAGCATTAGAAATGTATAAAGATGATTGGAACAAAGTGGCAGAGCATGTTGGTAGTCGCACACAGGATGAATGTATTTTACAATTCTTAAGATTACCCATAGAAGATCCATATCTTGAAGACGGTCCAGGAGCTCTAGGTAAAGACATGTACCGATATATTCAAATGAAGACATTTCAATATTATAAAGGATCTCATGTTCAAATCTAGAAATTATAAAATGTAGGCCAGCAAGCAATTCTCCTTTCTACAGAGTTCCTTGGGCACCATTAATTATTCTGACCAATAATGTTGCAGCAGCTTATTTCAAATCTCCAACACAGTATAAGTTTCAGGCCACTAGTGAATATATTCAGCTGACAAATGAGCTTGAATACTTGTACATGTGTGCCTGGGAAGAACTTGTCTTTCATTGTGTAGTTTGCTAATAAAATGTATTGTATTTTATAGGTCCATTGGCTTATCAACCTATTCCATTCAGTCAGAGTGGTAATCCTGTAATGAGTACTGTTGCGTTCTTAGCATCTGTTGTGGATCCGAGAGTAGCAAGTGCCGCTGCTAAAGCTGCAATTGGTAAGTTTACTACCCTCTAACAATCATTAATGGTGGCAAGTCTACTGCCCTCTGTCAGTCATTCCAGGGTGGTAAGTCTACTGCCCTCTATCAATCAATCCTAATTTGTTTGGTAATGTAAATAAAAAAAAAAGATGTATCATACCATCTTCGTTTCTTGTATAAATACAAAAATAAATATTTTGTTTTGTAGAGGAGTTTAGTAAAATGAAAGATGAGGTTCCAAGTGCTTTGATAGATGCGCACATAAAGAAAGTAGAAACAGATGTTGCCAGTGGAGTGATCAGTTCTAAACTAGGGTTGGATAATAGCGGTATTGCCGGTACTGGTCCAGATGGTGACGCAGGTGTGCAGACCACATCACATACTGAGGGTAAAGAGAAAGATGCAGCAAAAGATGAAGTCAAGTCAACGGATAAAGATGAGAAGACTGCTAAACCTGAAGTTAAAGAAGAACCTAAGGTACTGTAATCACATTGATATTTGTGGGGAAGGAGTAAATAAGACATAATGGAATTACTGAATTCTTGTCTTTTACAATTTTGGCTCGAGCACAAGAATCTTATTCATAGAACATTTTTGATATATCTTCCCACAAATTTTAGACATCATTTTCAAAATTGTTAAGTTATTTTGGGTTTGGCTTTCCAATTGAGTTTGAATCATGCTGGCTATGAGAGTGGAGCCTCTCCCATTACTGGTGTACTAACTCAAGTTGGATTAAAACTCTGGAATTCTTGATAAGCCTAAAACGACAACGCTTTCGCTGTGATTGGCTGGTTCAGCATTTCTCACTTATGTGAGTTCATGCTTAGAGGGAATAGTGTAGAAATAAATATGACTTATTCTCAAATACAGGAGAAAGAAGAGACAGATGATGAAGCTATGGATACGGAGGAAACTAAATCAGAAAAACCAGAAGATGAAGAAAAGAAAGTGGATAAGGAAGAAGAAAGTGAGAAAGGAGACAAAGAAGAAGACAAAAAAGATGCCAAGGAAGCAGAAGAGAAAGATGATAAATTGAAAGAAGATGGAGAGAAAGAAAAGGAGAAAGATAGGGAGAAGGATGAAGAGGAAAAGAAAAGAGATGCTGAGAAGCTGTCAAAGAGGGAATTAGAACTGAAAGAAGGCAATATATCAACTGCTGCTGCATCAGCACTGGCAGCTGCAGCGGTTAAAGCTAAGGTAGGAACTAAAACTACTCTGTGTCATTAAATCCCATGTAAAGACATTTTGTGGCTTAATGACTGAAGAATTTTGTTGAGGAAGATAGCAGAATTTTGTAGAACTGAACATTTCACTAGGTCATGTTTCGACAATAGCTGAGAGACAGACTTGTGAATTTCATATCCGGTCTTCTCCCAATGCATTTAAAGCATGTTGCGTTCACAATGTTTGACCACTAAAATGCCAACCTTTAACGTTACAGAAAAAAAAGTTTTTGATATTTTAATTTATATTGCAACAAATAAATATGCAAATTAACTGACATGCTTTGCCATTTACTATAGTAGCTGAAGACGGATAAATTATCTTTGTTAGTTTTCAATTTTGTATAAAAAATATTATTAGTCAGCAGTCTCTTTACCTCCAAAGTCAATGTTAATTTGATTTCATTGTGTATTTAACATAGAATAGTATTGTTGAAACATTACCATAAAAACCTTGTTATTGTTTTTGTTGACAGCATTTAGCAGCGGTTGAGGAACGTAAAATAAAGAGTCTAGTCGCGTTGTTAGTGGAAACACAAATGAAGAAACTGGAAATAAAGCTTCGTCATTTTGAAGAATTGGAGACAATCATGGATAGAGAAAGGGAAGCAGTAAGTTACTATAATCTTTTTATCACTTCTAAATGATAATAAAGAAGGTTCAGATGAATCGAAGATTGCTGTCTTTGTCATGCTTTTGTTATTATAGGTTAATTTAATTCCATAAGGATACAGAAAAAAAATTGGGGTTACTGAACAATTTTTCAAGAAACAATTGTCCAAAAAGTAAAATGGAAAAATTTGCATTTTTACACTGGTTTCTATGGTGAAATTATTTATTTATATCTCAAAATTTTGATCAGCGACGTATTATGAAAAAGCCATATTATCATTGATATGAATTCTAATTTTGTGAAAAAAATTGACATACTTGTTAGTTTAGTCAGTTTCCAGGGTAATAAGTTTTCCCATTATTTACAATAAGAAGTTCTCTCCCATAATGCTTTGCATATGTCTGCATTAAAATGCAGATTATAAACATTAACAGTGCAAAATTCGGTAAAAAACTGTTGTTCCTTTATGTAAAGATGTTCTACAATGATTCCTTGTATTCTAAAACACTTTGATTGAATCTAAAATTATTCATTGTTTTCTTGTTAGCTTGAATACCAGAGACAGCAGTTATTATCTGACAGGCAAGCATTCCACCAGGAACAGTTGAGAGCAGCAGAAATGAGAGCACGACAGCAAGCACAAGCCATGGCTGCTGCTGGTTTACATCAACAACAACAGACATCACAACAACCACCACAAGGAGTACAACCAGTACAACCAGCTGTTGTGCAAGCTGTGCATCCAAGTCAACCATTGCAACCAACTGTACAACAGGGTCCACAGTCAAACCAAGCACAAAGTACACCACCGCCACCACCGGCCGCGGTACCACAGGAAAAACCTGCAGTTCCAGAACCAGCACCAACATCAGGTCAACAGACGCCTACAACTGGTCCGGCGACACCGCTAACACCAGCTGGGAATACTCAAGAAGAAGAACCACAGCAGCAGCAAGGACCAGGTAATTATTGCTATTCTTTGATTGACTTGTCTTAAGATTATAATCATTGTGAATCTGTAAACCAATTAAGTCCTTGTAATCAACTGTTGTGTTGTGAAATATTTTCTTATACTAATATCAATAATGTAAGGTTTACCATGCACTGAGTGGGCAAGGCGCAATATTGCAGTATGAGACACTGTTTTGCTACAAATAGTAGTTACATTACAACAAAGTGTTGCCACAGGAAGCAATGGTGACATTGAGAGCAGCAAAGCTATACCATTAGCAAAACAGTGTCTCATACTGCATTGTCACTAAGTGATCACAGTAATTTGTTTCCCCATCCTGAAAATTTTCTTTCTTCTTTATTTTCAAGAGTGAGCGGAAATCACAAAATTTTGTAGCAGTGAAAATTTCTATTGTAGCAAAACAACTTCAATAAACATTCAATGCATTCGCTGTACTTTTATTAGCAATGTTGGCAATAACTTGAGTTTAACATTTACATGAACAATATCGTTCAAAGAATGACTGACATGATAGTAACAAATCGTCACATCACGTGTAACACTCAGCACGTTTTCATCACGAATTTCTTGTATTGTCATGTACAAAAAGACAAAGCCAAACCTCTGCTTTCATTTAAAACAGTTTGTAATATGATTGCAGGTACACCGTCAGTGGGTAGTGGACCAGGTACACCAAACCCGAACCAAGCAGCAACACCAACCCCACCACCTGATCTACAGACTGGTAGATCTACACCAATAAGTGGTAAAAGTACACCAACATCAATTGTTAGTCAAGGTATGTGTATACTGCCCTCTAGTGTTCATTTTTCAGAGTAGTAGTTTGCTGGTATGCATTAATTACTCACTGGGTTTAATTTTACTTTTAGTATTTTTGCTGATATGTAAAATCTGTTAAATTAAATTTTGATGAACAATAGAATGCATTGTTTCAATGGTAAATTCATAAACATAAAAATATGCTCAAAATAGTGAATTTATATGCCAGCGAAAAAAAATGTTTTGCAGTATAACAATAGATGTTTATATATGCATATGTAATTTAATTCATGGTCAGTGTTCTTGCTTCATTGTAATGAGCCAGCATACACTAATATAAATTTTTGATTCAGAGTATAATAAAATAAATCTTCTTCAGCCAATGTCCATTTGGTTACTTACCCCCATGTTAGCATGCCATTCTTTATTGTTCAAACATTTCTCTATTGATGACCAATAATTTAAAAAAATATATATTTAGTTATATACAAAGATGATAGAATTCCACAACTATTGATGGGAAACATTCCTTTTCAAATCGTTTTAAATAAACAATGTTTACATTATATGTATTTCACTTTAACAATATAGAAAGCTTACAATAGTTCCAATATTTTTCATTTCTATAGGTAACCAAGGTGATGCAAGTATACCATTCTCCACATCAAGTGATGCAGTATCATCTCCAGCAGCTCCTTCACCCAAACCAATGGAAACAAATTCTTGCTAGTTGTATGTGCTATCATTATAGATAGGGGTGTGGGGCTAGTGATGGGGGTGTGAGTTTCATTGGATGACCATTTTCCTTGCACAATACTGACAGACTGATAATTATTTATAATCTAAACTCTGTTCACAAATAATCATTTTTTGAATAAAACTGAATCATAATATGTTACTTGTACTTATACAAAAATTTTACTCAATTGTCCATATTAAGGAAAATAATTATTTGTAAATGAAATCATTGGATTTGATTGAACATGAAATAGCCACTGCTGAATTTGACCTGCATACTTTATGCATACTCTTAAATTCTCGTACTAAGCATGGAAATCATAGATGGTAATGGTACAACCCGTCATTACTGTATTCTTCTAGACCTATTCATGATTTCATGGTTTTAATTGCGTTTGTGTGGACATTGTTTCAAGAAAGTTACTGACTTCTCGTTTTTAAGGGAAAAACCCAGTGAAAGATGTTCAGTGCTTTTAATTTCCCTGACTTGCAACATTTGTCTCGCAAAATTAAAGCTGTTTACCATCTATCGCTGTCAACTATCATGTAAATTATGGACACTCTGATAATGGTGTTAAATTTGAAGTAAAAAGTAGACATATTTATTGCATTTTATACTTATTTCTTTAGAAAACTTATGAATAATAAAATCACACTCTTATGTATATTGATGATTTTTATTTGTTTATTATTGTTCTGGTGTATAACTTAGTGAATATTGTCCACCTCTGTAATGCACTGCTTTTGTACAGATTTATTTTATCACATTTATCAAAGGATTTCAAGAATTTACTACTAAAGTGACTTTTTAAATGGATCATGGCTGCCCATATTTTTACCAAATGTAAACATGTGGAATAAGATGTTAGGATGTTCATGTTTCACTGTGAAATCTTGCGTAATGTGTGAAAGACGCGAACCAAATGTCTGCTGTAGAAATCTAATGATTTGATTTTGAAATTTAATTTGTCTCTTTTATAGTTCAGTGACGAAATGCTTATCTTTCAGAGCGGAATATGACTTTGTGATATTCTTACTTCATCAAAATTGTCTATCATCATATGTGTATAGCACATTATTTAGACGAGTAAATACCCCCAAAAATCCATTATGTTTGTGAATCAAAAATACTTTCACTTTTATGAATCCCACACGATGTTCTGATGTAACTGTTTAATTTCATGCAGGATCAGGCAGTGAATGGGAAAAATGGTCTATTTGTTTACCATTGGCATATGTTATATGATACATAAACACTTATTGGTTATCACTAAGATTATGTTGTCACAATATTTCATGTTTTTTCAAAAAATTGTAAAAAACATTCCTCATACACTTTTAAAATTGAATCGTGTCAAAAGAAAGTCCTCTACAAGATGACACTTTGAGTAGTAAATTACTTGTATTTTTGATGTTTACTTTTCTCAAAAACTGCCCTAATTTTTTAAGCATTTATAGACTTAGATATTCATGTTGATTAAAACTACCAATGTATTGGAATAAAAGCTGAAAGTGAATTCTTGGTGATTTTGTTCATTATCAATTCTTCGTAGACTGCCTTCAAATCAAGACAAATGAAACTCATTTTTATGAAGACTAAAATCATTTATTGTTAGCATCTAAGTGTACTGAAGTTATTCTGTCCCAATAAACTTTTCATATAACTGTGTGGTTTTCTTTTTGATGTTGAATTATAGATATAAATACCTGGTGTGCATGCCAGTATTGATTGTATTATTAATAATACTATTTTTTGGCTTGTCGGCTTGTCTGTTGTTCAGTCCGTGATAGTGGACAGTTTTCGATCAGCATTTACGAGGAAAGTACTCAACATGTAGCTCACTATATGTGCATGAATCAAGTGCGATTTCACAAGTCATTGGTTTTGTCAGTTTATACAAAAGGAGTTGTATATCACGTGTACACTTACAACCCACCCAGAGAGACTGCAAAAAAAAAGCCTAATTCTCTCAAAATTTGGAGTATTACCGGTAATCATTAAAGTTTGGCAAAATTTGACTTTAATTGTTGTAAATACCTCAGTCCATGGACCCCAAATAGGCTAACTAACGCTAGCAACCATTATAGCCATTCCTTAACTTTTAAATATGAACACCTTGTGTTGATTGGACATCATGCAAAGACAAATCAGGCTGATTGGATCATTGTTAGATTTAACCTTTTCACTACCAGACTTTCTCACCCAAA